CACGAGGCAGCTTTACATCGTGTGTCCATTTCCATCCTTCACATTTTAATGTACATGGAGAACAACGGATGCCTCGCAGTGACTCACTCCGTCTCGCCTCCATTATCATCTCGTTTCATCCTCCCGAAACAAGAGGCTCGTGTGAGGACAAAGAGGACATTCGCACCATCATTTAGCGCTCACTCCCCTCTCTTTAGTTACCAACCCGCAAATCCACGATGAGATTAAGGATTTAGAAGTGAGTTCTCTTTCCTCTACGGTAGATTACTTTGTTGTTTTCTTTCCCCGTCTCCCCCGAGTGCTCCATGAAGCACCAACGTGTTGCATGGGTGATCCTTAAATACCTCTCGGGGGTTAAACGGGGATGTGTGGTTGCCTGCTTCTTCGCTGAGGGCAGGTGAATCAGCACTCGAGAGAGAGAGAGAGAGGAAAGTTCATCCCTCTTCAGTTAAGTAAGTCCTGTTTATTTCTTTTCCCCTCGTCCTGGCAGGAGCTGCTTCCGCTGCAGCCTGGTTCAATATGTCTGGGGGTTTGAGTGTGGTGTCTGGTTAAACGTAGCCAAAGAGGGGAGTTGGGGATTATCAATAATTCATGCCGCGTGTTTGCAGGGGAAACACCACTGTAAACTGAAGTACAGAGATATTTGCTGTGTATTTAATTCCAACTGGAATTTGATTCTTTGAATTCTTCAGGCCTCTCGATGGGTGCTTCCCATGGCAGGAGTTGACTGACCTCTCCTAGAAGACGTGCCCTTTAACTTCTTCATGTCTTACTCTGACGTTAACTGTCAACTGTTAGCGATTTAGGCCAACTGTCCCATACATCAGTCAGCATTTGGTAGGTCACTTCAGCTTGCTAACGGAAGCACCGATTGCCACTGGACATCCATTTCATGGAAGGCTAAGAACTATATTTCTACGAATGGACCCTGGTTTCAAAAACCTTGCTGTGTCATTGCGCAAGAAACAAAATCTCCAGAAGATCAAGAACTGCTGTTCTGTAGCTCTCCCTGACCTCTGACCTCCCTATGGATTAAACAGGGAGAAGAAAATCTTGCTTAAGGGACTTCAATCACTTGTTTTCTTCCTGGAGGCCATATTTACTGAATCATTTCTCATACAGCACACTAGATTTAACAACAAAAGAAAAGTGGAATACATGATCAAGCACATTTCCCGGAAAAACACTGTATGTGCCATGTTTCAGGTTGTTCAATTAGCTCGCAAGATAAACAGAGGTCACAACAAATATGTATAGAAGGTGACATCATTCAATTAGATTAGGTGATTAGATGGAATTTCAGTGACCCTCGGGAAGTGGCAGCAGAGGAGTAGATAATATAAATAAGAACAAACAGAGACTACTGAAGATAACACAAGAAGAAAACAACAACAAAGAGCTTTAAATGAGAATGATGCAACTGATGAATAAAGATAAACGATGGGGCTTAAGAGGGCCACGCTGGGAAACTACTTTCCTCTATCCTCTGAGCCATTACTGGCAAATGTACAGCTGGGAGAGGGTACTTCATTTTCAAATCCTTTAAATAAGGGTTGTAATTATCTGCTTGTGTGTGTGTGTGTGTGTGTGTGTGTGTGTGTGTGTGGATGCAGAGGGAGTACGCCTGCCACAGAAGCCCATGAAAGATTAATGCTGAGTAACCACTGGAACACTGCCGCAGCCAAGGTGAGCCTTTTGTTATTGCTACAAAAAGGGTACGAGGAAACACCGGGGTAACATGTCTTTGGGTTCCTTCTGCTGGAAGATACTCTTTGATTTGAGCCTGAGAGCAAATGTGGTTGTAACTGTCAAACTAGAAATTACTTTCATACGACTGAATTAGAATTTGAATCAACATAATCAGGAAAACACTATAAATGCAAGTATTTAGCATTGTGAAAGTATTTGCAAATAATTTAGCTATAATTTATATATATATATATATATATACACATACATATACCTCCTCCCTACATGGACTTTGTCGCTGCTCATGCTACGTCACCTAACTTCCACAGTTGCTCTTGCCATGCTTCTTATGACCACTAGCGTTGTCTTTTTGTATCGGAGATCGATCATGTGATTAGACGATAACCGTCTTCGTGAACCTTAATCATAGCTATGTTTTAATCAGTATATAATCATCTGAAACTAAGAATCGTCGTGTTTTCATTAGCTTAGAAAATGCCATATATATCTACAGATTGTGTGTGTGTGTGTGTGTGTGTGTGTCCGCCATCTTGAACCGCCATGTTTCTACAGCAGCCCAGGACGGACACCGACTCTGGTGAGAGCCTTTCACGTTTTGCATTGTCTAAAGACAGGGATGCGTTACGAAACCCCGTATTAAATGGGCCCCGGTGCTAAATTACCGGAGTATTGCATTTCACAGGTGTGCCGATCCGTCAGGGGGGGTATCCGCACGGATCACGGATCAACTACAGTCCGTTACACCACTATTTCCTGCAATTCAGACCTCAAAACACCCGCAGACTCATAAATCTTTCAAGAAAGCACACATAAGAAATTAAACAACAACAGAGTTCCCGCTTCTCCCACAGTCCCAATGTGCGGCTTTCACTACACAAAGCAAAAAGAAACTTGTCCCCGAGACCTGAAATGGCACCAAACTATTTTCAGAAAATGTCTACACGTCCAAGTGAAGATTTTACACTGAGGTTATTTCTTTGACAGCTTGCTAAAGTCCCCCTCACCCTTCAGGGGACGACGATGCAGGGCCCTTGTTCCCTGCACATGCTAACGGTTGCGTAACAGTGTTAGAGGCTCTGCTCGGCCTCTCTCCGGACCCTGAGGGCAGCGAGCGCAAAACATGCCTTCCGCCTCTATTTCTGTTCTGCTTCTTCTTCTCTGTGGTGCTCACAATTGCACAGAACAATAGCAGAGGAGGAAGTTTCAGGTGAGAGGGGGTGGGGGGGGGATTCCTCCTCTACTTTGTCCTCCCTCCTTTCTCATCTCAGAGGGATTTTCTCGAACACCCCCCCTCTCTCTCTCTTTTCCCCTGTAGTTATTTCCCTTGGTGAAAATGGGTCACCTTTCTTTTGTCAGGAGAGTGCCTGGGTAAGTATAACCTCGATATTCTGTGTGTGGAGGTTTTTACTGTCTAGGGGGGGTCCCGAGCCCTGAAAAAGTCATGTCCAAGGACCGTTCTCTGGGCCTCATTACGGGAACGTTTGGTTCTGGGTTGGGGTTTTGAGTTAGGTAAAATATGGATTGGGGTTACTTCTAAATATACTACACTACACTACTAAAGACTTTTTGTATGTTAACAATTTTGGGATTAACTATAAACAAAACTTTGCTCCTGTAGTGTATATTCGGGACAAGCAGGCTTCACTAAACAAAAAATAAACACAAATTTACATGATTTATTTCAAATTTGTGAGACGCTGTGTTGTTGTTATACATATATATATGTATATATATATATTTTGAATTTCTGGCAGAGGCTCATAGACTGGACATTTATGAGGAAACAAAAAAACTTGCATAAACCTCAAGAACCAGATCTCAGTTCAAGCCAGACTTGCCAACTACTTTAAGTCACGTTATGTGATTTCTGGACCAAGAAGGGCGTTGAACTATCAAGACTTCTACTTCATCTCACTGCAATTTATGGTGTGCAAAGGTAAAAGCTGCTAGAATAAAGGACAGACATTAAGCAGTGTGTAGGATGATGTTCGCATACTGTACCGGCGGCGGCACACTTTGGGTATACCAGTATATGTGTGTTCTTTCCAGGCTCATTTCCCATCGTTCCACCTGATAGAAACCCTGTATCTCCTTGTCTCTGGCAGTGTGCATGCAGGCAGCGTTAGATGGACTTTGAAGTGAGCGCAGTGATGCACTTCAAACAAGATCTCGCACACTTTGCCAGCGTGCCAAGAGGAGACAGGCTGGAAAAAAAGAAGAGAGCTTTTTCCCTGCATCCTGATAGAGTGCACTCTGATCCACCCTCTCTGTCTTTGTCTATTCTTCCATCTACCTCTCAAATCTGTGCCTCATCTCTCTGCACATCAACGCGAAACAACTCTGTGGAAGCACCGTATGAGCCTCTTCACAAGTTGTAGCGCACAAGTGAAGGGAAGCTGGCAAGCAGTTTCAGACGTCACCGACTCAGCCCGTCAAGTGTACGAGCAGAAGGGAACCAGGTTCTCAACCTGTGTCATGTGACGCTGTGTGTGTAATGAGCATAGCAGCCTACACTTAGTATGGACTGCTCATCGGGTGACTTTATACTATAGTAATGGGACAATGAAAATGACCTGGTGCAATTAACAAAATAAAATTAGAGCGTTCATTCAGTATTACAATAAAAAAATATTTTTATAATTAAAAACGTAGATTGACAAAAAAAAGAGAAAGAAGAACAGGAGGAAGACGGTCGGATGAGGTTGAAAGCTTGAGAAAAAAAATAGTAAGTGGACCTTGAGTTAAGTTAAACATATACATAATATGATAATATGTACACTGAGACATGTATTCCACAATATATACCGTATATGGACTCTCATGCTGTCCCCAGTGATAGCCAGCATAACCTGCATACGCTGCTATTATGATATCTGATGTATAAGTACCTATGAAACCAACATAATGTGTTTAGTTTGACAAACCAGGCATTAAACACCAGAGCCGCGCTGTACAACTGCAGAGAAAACGCAACATTTGTAAGTCATGTTACGTTTTTTACAAACCCAAATACATTACAATCTGCTAATAAGCTAATGGTGTTTCTAAACAACTTCATTTGAATTCTCACAACACACTGCACATGTATTGTGAATGCAGCCTGGGGAGAGTGTGCTATGTATTAATGGTGATGTGGTTTGTATTGTGAAGCATTAGCCCAGCGGCCTCACACTTTGCACGATGGAGAATATCGGCTTCATCCTCCCTCCTGCTGTGAGCTATTCACCACACATCACGATGGAAGTCTTTAAAGGCTCACAGCCTTACTGTACTGAGTGCGCTGACCGTACCGACGTGTAGAGGTAGCCCTCGCTGTTCATGGCAACGTAAAGCCCAGTCTTGGTGCTCTGGATGGCCACTATCCTGAGCCCCACAGGAATCAAGTTGAACTGCACTGGAAAGAAAAACACAAAACAGAAAGGGAGGACTGGTGTTAGAGCGATCATTCTCTCTCCTAAGTGCTTCCTCGTTGGCATAAAAAGACAATTGTTTTCCATCTGTCTCCCGTTTCCATCCTCCCTGTTGTACAGTATATCTGTCAGAGGCGGGGAATGGAAAGTGCGTGTGAAAAGGAGGGAGGGTGAGGCAGGGAAGGATTAGGGGGAGGGAGATTTAGGAGGTATAAAGTCTGGTTGCTGGTACACCGGAGGTCAGGCAAAAGCTGGGAGAGACTGTACGGAGAAGTCCCTCGCTGGAGAGAGAGGCAGCTAGAGAGAGCACGGCTTAGCAGAGAGCTTTAACAATTCAGTACATTAGAAAGTGACATCGCCTGAGCCTGCTTAGAATTCATTTCCCTCTGTCCCGACACAGTGAACAGCAGTTTGCTGAAGCCCCTTCCTATGGAACCTTGGATTTCTTATGTTCATAGCTCTCCATATAAACTAACTTCAACTCAGCCACTGGAGCGGCACACACGCACTGTGTTTGAATCTGTTGTCTGAAGTCGGGTTTGCCTGCATGTCATTTGTTCGGTGCTCCTCCGTCCATGCGCGTGAGTACAAATACGCTTCTGTGCTCGCCGGTGTGTGTGTGTGTGTGCACGCGCATCCCTCTCAGCCCTCTGGAGTGTGTGCCATCCAGAAGTGCTTTATAAGATGTGACACGGGGAGTTGAGTGATACTGACAAAACACCAGCTGCTCTGCGGTCACACTGTCATGATGACCAAACGCTAGCGCCACAATTAAAGTCCCTGAAGCGCTGGGATTAGATCTGCGATGAGAAAGACTCTCACAGAGCACAGCTGGAGAAGAACAGCAACAATTGAACTATTTAAAGGAATATTTCAACATTGTGGGAAACATCTTTATTAGTCATAGCCAAGAAATTATTTGGGACTAAATCTGCTGTAAAAACCTTTCTCTGGTGACTTGTTTTTACCGACTCCAGGACTTGACTTGTTTATGCTAAGCTTACCTTATTGACAGCTAAATACACGAGGGCGCCATCAATCTTTGCATATTTTGCTCGGCAAGAAATGGTGTTACCAGAAATGTCCATCTATTCCTTTTACATGTTGGGTTAAAAGCTTGAAAGTATTAATAATTCTTGACCTTGAAATCAATAGTTTTGATATTCTAGGTTGAGCATGACAAAACTCTGCCAATGAAGACCCTGAAGTACGTTTGAAAGCTCCGCCCACAAGTTTGCACAAATTCCAACATAATAAAATCATAAATAATTGGCTACCAGAACATTTTAAAGTCACTAGCAGACAAAGCTGTCTTGGCATCAGCTTTTAATATAATTCTGGTCAGAAACACCCGAACCAGCATCACTGTGATGCAGTTTGCAGCTTAATATGCTTTTTTTTCTTTTTCTTTTGACAAATTACAAGAACGCATTATTAAAGTGACAGCGGGGTTGTCAAAATGATGAATCTCTTTTTACAGATGACAAATGAAGTCTCAGGAGCGTGTTTTAGATTCGTGGAGCCATGAGCTGCTATTAAACAAATCAATTTCAAATCAAAAACTCTGCCAACATAATGGATGGAAGTTAAGTTATCAGATCGAGATAGAAAGTCAATGCTGGCCATGATGACAGAACCAAACCAAACCCTGTGAGAACTATTGAGTGTTGAAGTGAAGTATTTAAGCAAACTTTATTAAAAAAAAGCATGCATTGTATTTGAGGAAAACTTAGAATCTTGGATTCCATTAATGCAACGTGTGGGCTAAGAGGGAAGATAGTTCTTCAATTTAATGTTAACCATCTAGAAGTGAAAGTTGAATTTATTTTACTCAACACATGAAACAGGGATGATGTCCGCTGGCCACCACTGCAGTGTAAATGACACAAAACACAGTGGAGATGGTGATGTGCCCCCCCCCCCCAGCCCCCCTCTCCATCTTCAGGGCCCTGCTTCTATTTGCTCGATCGATCCCTGCATCTCAAACAGTCGCTTTCGCAAATGAACAAGGTGTCACCAAAGACCACGGCCGGGATGACAAATAGAGCGGGGCGCGAACACATCGACTCCCTCCTCCTTTCCCTTCACTCTTGTTCCCTCGCTCTCTTACAGCAGCCTTGCTGTGGCGTTGGTGACCCGATGTAACCTGCTGCACACCGAGACGCACACGCAGGGTTCTTGTTTTCATAGTGGTCCGCTGGAAACAATAAAAAGCCAGCTTTCAACCAAGCCATGAAACTAATGTTAGCTTTATTAGCTCGGTAACATCCTGTCCTGAGGTTTTCGATGACGTTTTAAATGTCTGTTGTCATATTTTCAGACGTCATCACCCGTAAAAAAAACAAACAGTGAAAGTCCCGCATCATTCGAATGTTGATTTTGAATTCCAATGTCGACCTAATGAATGAGGCTTGGAAGCTTTGGCCCTTTTTGGTACAGCCCTACACTCTTTTGATCCCGTTTCCCCTCATCCTTCTCTCTCCGTCCTTCAGTTTGAACTCGCTCTTTTTCCTCTGCAACTCACAGAGGAGGTCGCTGGATTAATCAAAAGTCCTTTGAGGGAGAGACAGAGGGAGGGAGAGGGGAGGAGGGAAATGAAGGGGAGGGAGGAGGGTGTTGCCAAATCAATCCCACGAGTCAATTTGAGGCTTGAGATCATCAACACAATAAATAAACAAGGAGAAAGTGGAGATGGGGTGAGAGCGAGAGAGAGGGAGGACGGGGGAGGGGGAGAAGCAATAGCAGGACACAGAGCTAAGCTGTGCAGAGGGCATCTGCAGGCCTGCACACTGGGCTGCCGCTCTGCAGGGCTGTAGTGTGGAGCCCAGTTGGTCTCTGCTGGAATGAGAAGAGGATTAAAGTCATCTGTGAGAAGCCACACAGAGTTTCACATCTGGACAGGCACCAGTCGTTCCCTTTATTCTCTTTCCTGTTGGAAAGGAGCTGACATGGACGAAAGCGTTGTGGTGTGATGGTGAATTGTCTTTCGCTCTCCGAATAAGCTAAATAACATAAAGTTATTGGATTCGGTGTCTCCTGAAAGTGTCCTGTAAACTGGGTGGTCAGTGCATCAGCCGGCACAGACTCCTCAAGTTGAACCAAGTGAATGATCGCTGTCGATGATGGAATCAGTAGCCTCCTCCTCCTCCTCACCGTATTGTCGCCCGCAGTTCAAACAAGCAACTCAAACCAGATTGAACGTAGTTGAAATGCAAATTTCCTTTCTATAGCCTCAAAATGACAGTAGTAGGTAGACATGACCCAGTTCCACACTGCATACTAAGTTTATATTGTATGGACCAAAAACAAAACACACAGGACAGCATGCTGTATTTTCAGTAAATATTTTACAAACCGTTCTGATTCCCAGCTCGTTAAATACGGCGGTTTGGTCAACGGACCAACACGTCAAACTATTTCCCTCCATGAACCCCTTTTAGCCTCAGTTTTCTACGTGCAGGGCTGCCTCTGATGACCGAGGTAATTATGACAGAAGACGAGGAGGAAGTTAGGTAGTGCATTATGAAGAAAGTCCACATCGGGAGCAGGTCGGTTAAGTCTGCTGCTCGGTTCCCATGTGAAAGTAAAAGTCAATGTTGACTTAAAAACATACGTAACTAAACCAAATGTATCCATTTATTGGTTTGATTTTCCTAAATCTAACCAATTAGTAACATATCAGTCTATCCGTCTACCAGACTACCTGCATGATGAAACATTACGTCAAACGTACCCAGTGTGTTTAAAAAGTGACTCCAATAGTGACCATACATTGACCATAAGTGACCATACATTACCAACAGGAAATAATGCAAAATGGCCGCCAACTAACATCAATCAAACTGTGACCTTTGACCTCCACTACCATTTAAGCTTAAAGTCAAAGGCCATTTAGTATGCACACTTTCAGTTTGAGAATGCTTATATTGTGAGTGTGTAGTATGGAATGGGGACAAAGCTCATGTCAAGATTATCTGTATTGAAAGGCTATTAAGATGTAATACCAGTAGATATGTCTATGAATATAAATAAAAGAGGACGTGTTGCCCCTTTTCCCCCATCGTCATGGTTAATCTATATGTTCTATAAATAATTAGCATCCAAAATATTAAAAACCATAGCTTGCAAAGGTAATATAAGATATCCATGGTTCATACCTAAATCACCCTGATCCCATCACAGTCCCTTAATATACATGAACATCTACATCTGGAAACAGGACGGACTACTGCGCTGGGATCAGTCAGAATACAAAAGAGTTGCTCTGCATTGGCAACAAATAAAACAGCCACTCTCCGTTCACACACTGTCGTTTGTGTTGTAAAAAATGAGCGCGAGACTCAATAGTAGATTAAACGACTTGTAGAAGAGCTTCACGCCTGATTTCCCCTCGTGGTCGATGACTCTGATGACAAGACAACTACTTTCTCTCTCCTGTAATTTAACTTCCACCTCCTCCCCCAGGCTTCCCTCTCCAGATCCGATCTGAGCCTTTATCTGTCTTCCTCTAGGTCCATCTGTCTCCTCTACTCCTCTCTTTTCTCTGAGCTTTCTGTCTTTTAACCCCCCCCTGTCATGAATTAACAACCTTTGTCTTATCTCACTCTGGTTTTTTTCCTACATTTGTTCCCTTTCAATTCCCTCGTCGCCTGCTGTCGTTCTGCCCGCCCTGTGAAGCCGATACTTCAACATCAGCGTCCATTCATCTTTGTCCTATTTTACCCTGCAGCCTTCTCTTCTCGTCTCTGCCTCCTCCATCCTCGCGTCTCCACCCGTTTGGTATTCTTCATGCTGCTCCCTCTCATCCTCACCAGCCGGCTCTGGTACTGTTACCGTTCCCCGTCCCCATCATCTGGCTGAAAGAGCGGTTGCTTTCGATGTTCACATTTCTTCCTCCTTGAATGCACACAGCGAAGTTTCCCCTCATCTGGCCTTTGGAGTCTTTGAATGTTTTTTCCTCTCTACCCTCTGTGAGGGAGCGTTATCGAGCACTGGGGAAAGTCAGACGGACAGAGAGAGCAGACTTGTTCCAGAGCGGAGAAGGAGATAAGTTATATTTCCCTCCGACAGTGGGAGATTGTAATTACAGAGGATAAATCAGGCTTTTCCTTATGGCCTTCAAATGTACACAGCGAGAGTCACTAGCTTTCATCCCTCTCTGTCGCCTCTTCCCTCCCTTTTTTCTCCTCTGTCAAACTGTCCGTCTTGCTCTCTCTCTCTTCCTCTACAAATAACACAATTCAGAAAGAGACCAAATCCAGTGACAATCACACTAGCAGCTCCATCCCTCATCGCTCGCTCGGTGCCTTTATTCTCTCCGGCTTTTCTTTTGTGTATTTTTTAATCTTCCTTCAGCACCCTTGGAATCTGTTTCCTTCCCTGTGTTTCTTAATCTATGTGTTTAGAGCCTGAACCCTCCAAACCAAGTTTTCAGTGGCTTTAATGCTGTGATTCCCAACCTCCAAAGGGGCCAAATGGAAATATATAACAGGATAAGCAGTTTTTTGTTTATCAGATTTCCCTATGTTGTCATTCTTTTGAAATATGAAATACAATTTTAAAATAAGCAACATTTTTCAGAACATTTTCCAATGCCTATTGCTGTATTTTGGGTATTTTTAAGCATGCTTTTATTTGTGGACCTCACTAACCATATTCTCCAATGATGAAAGTAACTTACTGACACAATGTGCAGAGTTTCTACCCGACTACGTGTCCAGCAGCATACAGGGCATCCCAGCCACTGTGGCTAAGTGGAGAGCATGGCCGTCCTTCAATCAGAGGATCGACGGTTCGATCCCCGGCTCCACATGTCGACGTGTCCTTGAGCAAGACACTTAACCCCAAAATTGCTCCCGTAGCTGTGGATGAATGTGATAGAATCTGAATTGTAAGTCGCTAAATTACTGTAATGTAATGTATTGTAATGTAAAGTATGAGAGCAGAGAATGTTATGGACGAGGAAACATTTTACAATGTTTCGGCTGACTCTGACATTCAGTCAATATAGCACCCACTGAGGAATCCATTACTTTTAGGTCTTCAAAAGCTGCATTTCACTATGGACTGGAATGATTTAAAACCAAAGGCTGCTTAGGTGTTAAGAAAAAAAGTCTTCACAGTACTTAGGGTAATGGTGTGATTCATTTAAGTGCTGAAACGGGCAAACGTAGTATAGTCCTTTAATGCCCCAATACATAGATACATAGACATAAATCTCAACTCCTCGTCTCCCTGCTTTCCTCCCTCTTCCAGCTTTATTACATAACAGCTTGGAGGAGCCAAGAGCAGAGAAGGAGAGAAGAGCAGGGCGGGAGGAGGGGGTGGCAGCTCCTCTGACCTCCCACCAGAGGGGGGAGACACAGTGATTGAGGAGCCATCAGCTGTGTGCCAGCTGCTCCTACTGCGCTCCCCCCCCTCTCTTTCTCTCTCCCTTTTCTCTCTGTCATCCTCTCATTCCTCCCCTCCCTCTCACGTCCTCTCTCTTCCTCTGCCCGCCCGTCTTGTCTTGCTGGCTCAGTTTTCTCTGACGTATTCCAGCGTGCCCTCTTTCTGCTTCTCCGCTTTGATCCTCTTATTCTCTGTTTCCTTCCCTTTTGTCGGTTTTTGCTTTAATATACAATCGCTTTCAGCTTTGGGACAACTTCCTATAAGGGATCTTAGTTGTTGTTTTTTTGAAGTATTGCAAGGCAGTTCAAAAAAACACTCGTCACTTCTTGTACTGCTCCATCCCCTCCGGGCTTCTTTGTAACTTTTGTCTCTACACCAACCTCTCCGGAGGTGAAGGCAGCTGCTGTGATGCCGGGTAGCCCAGAAAGGGAGGTGACGAGAGGCGGTCAGAGGGGTATCAAGTCCTCCTGTGTGACCATGTACCTGCAGCTTGGTCGTTTGGCGTCACTACAGCGGGTCACAGGAGCAGTCAGGGTCAAAGGGGAAAGGGGGGGGGAGAGAGGGCTGCGATTCCAGCACGAAGTCTTTAAAAGGTCAACTGTACTTTGGAGATTTTTTGTGTTCGCAAGTTGAGTTGCACCACTTTTTGTTCAGATCAGTACCGCACATTGAGCCATGAACTCCATCAGGGCGAGGGCCTCAGATATGAATCACACTGTTAATTATTTATCCCATTTTACTGCTGATTTGGCCTTTTTTCTTTTTTTTTTTTGGTCTTCTCTGCGAACACCGCAGTGATGTCTGCACACACACATATATATTCTGAGGAGACGAAGGGGTGTGGAAGGTTACACGTTGCATTAAGGTCGCATGCTTCAGGATCTTATTTTGTTTCAAAAATGCATCCAGCGTCCACTGACCCAGTGTCAGCTTCCCGTCAATAGTTTGCGTGAGGTAGACAAATAAAAGCAGCCGTCTGGGATTCTGTGAGCTACCACAGAATGTAAACACTGTGCACGCGAGCGGATGCTGCAGCAGTGCACATTCAGCTTTACTTCTAAATAAAAAAGGTTTAGATGACCCGGATAGACTGGTTTACAATTGGTCTTGTGAGTACGATGTTATCATACCAATCACATCAAAATCTTTAAGACTAATCATATGAAACTAAACATGTCATTTAACAGGGGATGAAAAATAAACCATGGTGAAAGGCTGGATTACCAACTGGATAATTGGCAACTGTCCCAGACGTCAAGGGGCTGGAAAAGCCCAGAGTTTACTGTGTGGTACTTTATGGTCATATGATTAATCATAAATGCATATGGGAATACCATAAAAGCAGGATATTAACTGACATGACATAAGGGCTTGTTTTATTACCTTAAATTTGTCTTGACAAAGGGGTTCAGTGTTCCATCTAGTCTTCAGAGCTGCATGTAAGCTGACATCTTGCTTACAAGGTGCATTTTCCTTAATGTATTTAATCAAATTCACACCCAGCAGTGGGGTCAGAATGCATGCAATAAACAGAGGGGGAAGTGGCCAGTGAAGCTCACACAACATGTTTGCTATTGGCTGTAAAAAAGCACAAAAAAGAAAGGAGAGGAAATGGAAATGCACTGAAATTGAAAGCGGTCTGGTCCCAGGCCAGTTTGCATTTCACTGCTGCCAGGGAGACTGCTGAAGATAAGCCCGACAGTGAGTGTGTTACAGTACACGCTCACACAGCTGTTTCTGCCCTTTCAATATTCTACGCAGTCAGGGAGATGATTGTGCTACTGATTGATACTCAGTTACAATGATGTCAATCACGCAGCGATTCCTGCGTGAATGCATAAAATAAAGCGCACTTGGATACAACGTGCGATAAAGAGTTTTACGGGATTTGCCTGTCAAACAGCCCCCCGACCCTGACCCGCTTGATAACGCAGAGCCCAGGACGGCATTAAACCAGATCCTGGGACTGATGGATTTATAGTTGTTAGAAGCAGAAGTCAAAGCCACGCAGACACTTTGCGGGGTGACCTCCACTGACTGATGGTAACTATCCCGACACACCGGGGAGTGCTGTTACGCAACGGCGGTCTCCACGTCCGCCTTTGGATGTGCCCTCCGGTATTATGGGATGAATATTTCAGATTGGACATGAGACGGTTTAGAGTTCACAGTGCAGCAATGTTTGCCTCCGTGTAGGTGCGCTGTTACATAAGAGGGAGAAGAGAGAGCAGGTCTAATCAGTTACTGTGTCATGGGCCTAATTCAAACTAACAGCTGTTTGAGGACTCTCTCTCTCACAAGATAATACTCTTTCTCAAGGGATTGTTAGAGAGCCGTCTTGAAAATGTTTTGCTCGTTTGAATCTAAATGAGAACTTTGTACAAACACAACTGCAAGGTTCCAATCAGGAGACACAATCCGAGCAATGTGTAAGTCACATAAAACATAATTGTCTCACAGGGACAAATGTCTCCAGGTTAAATCCAGGTTATTCACACCTGGTAACACTGTTGTCACAACTATTCTGACATCTCAACGGCGTGCTGAAATATAAACTTTACAGAGGAAACCACAACTGAAAGTCTAAAGCGTGATTTTATTTCTTTTCGCTCCTCTCTGTAGATTGTAAATCCAAAATTGTGCAAGCTTCATGTTTTTTTTTATCCAAACTGGTGTTTTGACAGAAAAAGAAAAAATGCTGTGTTGCCACATCAGGGATATCCTTTGATACAGTATTGATCTCTTTGGGAGGGTTGGAGGGAGTCCAGGAGATCTGATGCGTTTGGTCAGTAATCACCCAGGTGAAGACCCCCCTCGCAGAGTGAAGTGTGTGTTCACATGGTTGTGGTGTGTGTGTGTGTGTGTGTGTGTGTGTGCATCTGAAGACCACAGCAGGTTTTTCTACTAATGGGTAGAGCTTTAAGTCTTGATTCAGATCCTCAGAGGATTCTCTGCTAACATTAAGTGAATTTAAAATACTGAAGTTACAAGCTGAGTGCATATAGTCACCCCAAAACAGTGAATGTGAGATTGTGGGGAGGGAGAAAAACAGATTCAGGTAGTATGCCATCATTATAAAACCAGAAAGCGTGGCAGTGTTATGCTGCATTCTGTCCAGGTGTTGAGATATACGACTAAATGTCCTTTAACGTGGAGGCAGGTGGTATACATGACAGACCTGTGAAACACAATCCTTTATCTAACTAGCCGTCTGATCTCTGTCCGTCTGATCGTTCACTTACAGAAGGAGCTGCTTTCGTCCTTTGTGCCTTCCATGGTGCCATCCGGCAGCATCTGGAGGTAGAAACCGTGTCTGCAGTAAAGCCGTGTGACGATGCCCTTCAGCTGGGGCTCTGCAGAGCAAGCACAGGGTTAAACACACATTAGCAACCTGGGATCTCACACACACACACACACACACACACACACACACACACACACACACAC